GAGAGAGAGAGAGAGAGAGAGAGAGAGAGAGAGAGAGAGAGAGAGAGAGAGAGAGAGAGAGAGAGAGAGAGAGAGAGAGAGAGAGAGAGCTCTTATGGCTGGGAAGAAAAAAACTAACCGTTCCATGCCTGCTGGCTGAATCATAGACAAGTCAAGACATTGAACATCACTATTCTGGACTGAATCTGGTTGTGATTGCAGTCAGATACGAAGTCATGGTGCGAGTATAGCCTAACACTGGTTATTCCTATTCTTTCTCATCAGGAAAACTATCACTTTTCACAAGTTCTCACCAAAAGGTTCTTCCAAAGAATGGCGGAAAGAGCGCTCCCCCCCAAAAAAAAACACCAGGTCTTCCAAAGAACGGCGGAAAGAGTGTACTAACACCAGGTCTTCTGATGCAAATCTGATACATTGCCGATAAACCTAGTTTGAGTGCGCCCTGATAATGGAGAGGTTACACTGCTCCCGAAGGCAAAGAACTTTGAAAAAAAAAAAAAGAAAAAAAAAAAAAGAAAGGAGACACATACCAGCTTGACAGGCAGCTGAAATGTTGATCAGATAGAGTACAGGCGAAATAACGGACATACTGTGGCATGCGACAGAAGGTGGTCATTTCCTTTTTTTTTTGTTTTTTTTAACAGAAGGTCATTTCTTGTGGCCTCTGACACAAAGTATGAAATAAAGGGGGGGGGGCTTGGAACAAGGGTCAAGAGTTTGGGATCGTGATGGTGTAAACACCATAGAGTGGTATAAACACACTCAAAAGTTTTTTAGCCCAATTCGGACATGAAAGAGGTCAGTTGCATCGAAGTAAATCCCGGTTTGAGTACATCGAAGATAGACAGGGCTCTTTCTGACGCCCATTCTTTGCACATAATTCAGAAGGAAAAAAGACAAGAAAAAATGAGCTCATGAACAATCGAAAACTTGAAATCCTAACGCGCTTCTGAAACCTTTGGAAATTCATTTTGTCAGATCTGCCATAAATGTTCTGAACATAACACCACATCTGAAACACATCTAAGGGCATACTCACACTAGGACTTCTTCCTCTTCTTCATGGACGTAATTGCGGTTAGGTACATCCAGGCTGGGTCATAAATGCGGTCAGATACATTCAGGAAAGTCCTCGCGTGAGTATGCCCTGAGACAGCTGTCTCAAGCTTGCAAACCGCCGAGAGCTGACCTTAGCGCCCTCACGGCCCCTCAGACAAAAAGAGCTCAATATAATTACTCGTGGATATGATTGAGTAAATATCCTTCTTGCACTAAACATTAAGTATTTTATGGTTTTTACCGTTTCCACAGCGCGATACGGCAAGTCTAGAACAGGCTGCGTTCACAGGGCATCATCAAAATCATCATCATCCATAAAAAGCCTCAGCACCTCATCTTTGACAGCTTGGCAGTTGATGGCACGCTGCAAGCCAGGGGGCTTCTATCAGATTCTCACCTCCTTTCTTTTATTTCGTTTTTCTAAATCTGATTCTCTCATGCACGGATTGAGCCCCTTCAAGTTGGCAAGGCTCCAGAAAGGTCGTGCCCGCCCTAAGTGAAGGAAGGCCTCCCAAATTAGGGCCCGGCCTGCAAAAAGGCCTGTGTGAGCAGAAATTGGGGTCCCGTGGGAAGTTGCTGCACACAGCATCTTCAACCAACCGGTAGAGCACAACCTCCAGGTGGTTGGAGATGCTGAGGTCCAGGGCTCCGGCGGTTTGGCCCACGGCAGATTCCGGAAGGAGGCCCAGGGCGCAGCACGTCCAGCCAGGCCGCAGGCACCGCACCAGGCACAAAAGGAAGTGAGGCCTACTCACTTCACACATTCTGGCTGGCTGGACGACGGCAGTGCTGCTGGAGTGCTCACTTGCCGAAGGCGAGCCGGAACAGAGGGAAGAAGGCGCTGGCATGGGGCGAGGAAGATGCTGCAAGGGTGCAGCTGGAAGGGCGCAGCAGTCATAGCCGGAGGCTTCCTCGCTGCAAGGGTGCAGCTGGAAGGGCGCAGCAGTCATAGCCGGAGGAGGACGGCGGAGGTCATTGGGCGTAGGGACTGTGGAGGAAGACAGGGAGCAGGGGCGATGTGAGGAGGCGCTTACTTGGTGGAGAAGGAGGCGGGTGGTTTCACTTGGATTCTTCATTCCTCATCAGGCAGGTATTCTTCAGTGCAGATCTGTTGAGGCTAGGTGTCCAGGTCGATAGGAGCTGTCTGATTGTAGTCTGGGCGTCGAGCGCCAAGATAGTAGAGCGACATTGTTGACATTGGTGTTGGAGGCGAGCAGCAGGCTTTCATTATCAAGTGACTTCAATGCTTTGATCCTCTCCTTATTTGGTGTTATCTCGTCCCGCGCTCCGTCTAAAAATTCCTAGTGTGAGTTTGTCCTAAGGGGATACGGGGTAAAGGGAGAGGCAGAGGGGAGGGAGAGCATCAAGAGACCAAATAAGGTTATGGGTCTAAGTAAAGGAAGAGTCCGAACTAAGTCCGACCCCGCAAACAGAGAGGACACGCAGAGTACGGATGAGACGACTGATGACATGGAAGACAAAAGCTGAGAGAATTCACAGAGAATCCATTGCTACGACAGCTGCCATCACCATGCCCACGGAACACTTCAGACAAATGGCATGTGTGCTGCGGGCCAGGAGGAAAGAGCACCGGGCATCACAGGCGAGCACACATTCATTAGGTTTCCTCTGGACGTACAATAAACACCAGATGTCCTGGTGAAGATGGTCCTCACAAGCAGCAGAGACGGGACAGTCTCGGCAAATGTGTCTAACTGCAAAAATTTTGTTATGATGCCACTGGGAATAAAATGGAAAAGTGATTTGGCCAAGCGGGCTAGCTGAGTTGGTTGAGCACGTAAGTGGTACACAGGAGGTCCTGGGTTCAATTCCCCATGGCATCCATTTGATTCCCCACGAACCCCTGTGTGGCATACTGCAGGTTCACCGACTGAGAAAGTCGGCCTGTCCATGCTGGCTGGTTGTGGAAGTGCTGGAGTCGTACTTTCCAGCCCGCGCCAGTTGGTAGGAGCTTGGATGCTGCTCCCCCGCACAGAGCAGAGTTAGGTAGGCATAGACCCATAACCTTAGGATAGCCTAGGCATAGTTAGTACATTTAAGGCTGGTCTCCTGAATAGAGAAATTGCTTACTACGGAATAGATGTGAGTCATGTGACCCATTACGTAGGTAGTTAGGGTTAAAAAATAAAAAATAAAAAAAATGGACAAGTGATTTCCTGATGAGTAGGGTGTTCAGACTCTTCACAATCAGCTGAGCAAAGAAGGGCCAGCCATCAGCAAATGTGGCTGACAGTGAAACCTGCAGCGAAGTGTAATGCTGCTATCTGTAATAGATTCTGTACCTGTCCGAAGGGGGTTGGCCAGAAACAGAGGACAGTAATGATGATGCCTACCATCCAGGCCCTTGGACCAGGGTCCAGATGGTCCAGGGTTTGGGTCTGGGCTCTCAGTAATCCGTATGTTTGGAGCTGTCCAGATAAAAAAATTCAAAATACTATGCCTTGTGCTCCACTGACTTTCTTCGGGGAAATTCCCGGAAGTATTCCATGCTCCACGACTCCAAAGTTATCATTTCCCTGCGTAGTGCTCGCCCCGTAAAACGGTTGTTCAGAGTTCTCCAGCTTCAAGCGCACCTGGCAGCGGCTTCGTCGTTCCTCAAACTGGAGACGCTGTAGAACGGCCTCTTTTCCCAAGAGGCGCCGGTAACACAGCGGCCAAACTTGGCCATTCGGTCATGTGATGGCCCTGAGGTGACGGCGTGAGGGCTGCATATATAGCTTGAAAAAGCACCCAAGTTCATGGGCAGTGGAGCATCAGTCTTCATTACCAACTAGGCGCCATACTCGGCGTACTTTGGAGAAATTCTCCAAAGTAATGCCAGTGGAGCACAACTTCTGCACAAGCCGATGTTGACAGCATTTTACTATGATTTTATCATTTTAGATGTTTTGAATATTATTTCAAATTCCAATTTCAAAGACGTTTAAGACGAGATAAAAAATTATGGAAAAGAAATGGGCTGTCACTGCTGTGCAGCATTGATATACAACCAACTTTTGCCTGAGGGGCATGTCGAAATTCTCAACCAAATGCAAGAAACGAAAAATCAAAACAAAAATAAACATATTTTTTCAGGGTGCACCCCCTGGTTAGGATCAGATCTGGACGCCCGACCGTAGTCTGGACCATCTGGTGCTCAGTGTCCGTACGAGTCCCTGTTTTTTTAGGTCCACGACTCCCCGGTAGCCATGGTATTGGCACAGTTCTTTGCTCCAGCAAAGGGTTGAACAAGTGACAGGTCAGAAAACATCACCATTGTGTGATGGAAATCATGAATATGGTCCGTTGTATGCTTCATGTTCATGATTTCCCCGGAGTTTGAATCCTGATGCGGTCAGAGGAATGAACAATCCCCAGTAGTTGGTACACCCATGAAATGTTGAAACACAGACAGGATTTTGAATCCCAACGCAACCAGATGACCAGAATAAAATCATTCCGAATCACCTGGGGTCGGTCAGCTCAGTGATGATATCTCAACATAGCCCTTTCAAAAGAAACAACATGAACGAACAGAGGCCATATAGTTGCCAGCTCCAAGTACAATGCAGGCAGAGATGTGAGACAGAGGATAAACTTACTCAGGGAATACTTACACTAGGACTTTCCTGGATGTATCTTACCGGAATTCTACCATGGCCTGGATGTATCTACCGCAATTACGTCCAGATCTAGTCCAAAAAGTCCTGGTGAGTGACAGGTGATTACACTCTACTGCAGCGCACACACATCTCATTCAGTTCAATTTGCTGCTCCCGCATTGCAACTTGCAAGTTCTCAATGGTAAAACGGTACTAAAACCTCTGCTTTCCCTGGGATTGTTACTTCCTTCGTCCTCGAGGCAGAGAAGATCAGCATCACGCTTCAGGGCAATTACAAGAAAGTCGGATGCCGTGAATGTGACAAGGAGGTAGGCACAGAGACAGGCATGTGTAGCAGCAAGACCACAGAGATCCGGGGGGTCCTCAGCAAGTTCCCATGAGCAGGCTCGGTTGCCGGACACGGGCCATTAACTTGCAAGTTGCTCGTCCGAGAATGTCCCTGGCTGTATGCTTTGCAGTGATTTGCAGATCACCAATCTGATCTGCGTCCAGTGTGGCAATTTGCAAGTCAGCCAGTACATCAAAGGCCGAGGGGGTCTTGGGCTACGCACACACACACACACACACACACACACCTGTCTCTTATACACATCTAGATGTGTATAAGAGACAGGCAGGTGCCCGGAGCTGAAGTGGGCAGTGAGGAAGA